AACGCAGAAACCTGCAGACCAGCAGGGCTAATGGGGATGTTGCCTTTGACCTGCAAATGTGACCCTGAGCTCCCTTGTGGCCACATCAAAAAAGGAAAATGTGATCAGTTGGAGAACTTGGATTATCAAGAAGGAGGAAGCAGCCCAGGTCCTCAGGGAAGCAGTGCTGTTCCTTGCCCTACAGAGGTGCAGCGAAGGTAGCTAGCTTGCTCAAGGTCACAGGAAGTTCATGCAGACCAAGGATTTGGATGCTGGCAGCCTAGCTGGGCCACAGCATCTGTGTCCTTGACCACTCAGTCCAGTACTTCTTGGTCTGGGGGCAGAAACAGGCTCAGGACAAGAGGCATGTGTGTGGGGACAGATGGAGGCTGAATGCAAACCTGTGACCGAGGCCCCCCCCTCCAGGGAGAGCTGAGGGGCTTGGCAGGGTGAACACACATACTAACTGGCGACACTGACTCACTCAGTTCTCAGGATGAGGGGTGAGGGGTGAACGGGTAGAAATGCCCAGAGGATGTCAGCACCACCCCGTGACATCCCAGTCTGGCCCCCATTCAAAGACGAAAAGATGTGGCCTCTGACCCCAAGCTGCTTCCTGTGCAGCAGGAGAGCCAGACATGACGTTATCTGTTGTGTCCCTGGCACGTATCTGCAGACGCTGCAGTACAAAATGCGGGGCCTGAGTCCCTACTCCTTTCCACACTCCTCCTGCGGCTCAGACACCCCCTCACTGCCATAAAGGGGGAGTTCCGGGGGTGTAGGGAGATGGCGCGGAATGCCCTCCCTTCTCCTGCGTTCCGTCTTCTTCACTCATAGGTGTCCTTGAAAACGTAGCTAGAAAGTTAAAACTTCAGCGTCATGGGCTCCACTGAGAACCCACCTGCCCCAGGAAGCCTCAGGCGCCCTGGCCTTGACCCCACCACTGCACTTCCTCTGCCTTGTGCCTTGTTCCTAACTGTGAGCTCCTGTGGTGTATCCTTCCTTCATCTTTTCCCTTTTTCCTGTCTGGAACTTGGATGTGATGGCTACAGCTCTGGACCGTTTCTGCCAGGAAAGCCATTTCCTTGTCCCTGGGGCGTGCACGGTCCAGCACAGGGAATGTGGACACTGTCATTGCTTCCTTAAGGATATACTCAGTGACTGTCGTCAGATCATGATTTTAGGGCAGCGGGAAGTGATGGTAAGAGTCCAGGCTCTGCAGACCTGGTTCGAATCCCAGCTCTGCCACCTCCTGCCTGGATGCCTGGGGCAAGGGTCTTTGGCCTTGTGGGCGCCCCTCATGGGTTAAAGTGGGGCCACCTGTATTACAAGCTCAGCATAGTAGTCCCTGGCATTTATTATTATTATGAACACCAGTCACATTTCCCCAATTAAGAGAGGCCAGCTGCAGTGTCCCCGTCTTCTCTCCAAATTCCAGTGCCCTGGAAGCCCTGGGGACCCCTCATTGTTCACCTCTGCCTCCCAGCAGAGTGGAATGACACCCGAGCTCAAATTCTGAGTCCCTGGAGCCCAGAGTTCTCAAAGGAATTTCCCAAGAGGCTCTTACTTAATAAAAGCAAAACATGACTTTTATGCAATAAAATATCAATCGCAAACCCATTAAGGACCAGCAATGAATTTAGCTGGAGGAAGGTTGGAGGTACTGATAATGAAGCATTGATTGGCAGTCTCGCCAGGCTGAGACGTCTGGTTTGGAGCCCATTTGTCAAGATGGGGATAGCTTGGGTGGTGGCATGTGCATGGACTCCGGGGTGTCAGAGCCCTGCGTTCAAATTCCGGCTGGGCTGCTCATCAGCTGTTACCCCTGGGCCGTAATGTAATCACTAACATTTACTGAAGGTTTACTATGTGCCAGCACCAAGCCAAATGCTCCACGTTCCTGATGCCTGTAGTTCTTACATCCACTCCGTGAAGTGACTATTCCCATTTTACCCATGAGAAAACTGAGGTTCAGAGGGGGAGAAATCACATGTTCAAAGCCACACGGCTGGTAAGTGGCCGAGGTTGGGTGTGAGCCATGCATGTGACCACCGCGTCCGAGGCCTCCCAAGCTTGCAAACTCCCCAGCGTCTCAGTTTGTTCTCCCATCAATTGGGAAAATACCCAACCGTATGATGGAGGTGCTCAGTGAACGTATTTGTGTCTGTCTCCTGAGCAGTCTGCTGTGACAGCAGGGTCTGTGTCTAATTCCCGGTACCCGCAGGGCCCAGAGAATGCCCCAGTGAGAATGACACTTCTCGCTCAGTTTCCACAGTGTCTAAAAAAAGAATAATAACAAGGCCTGGAACTGCCCCTGGGAAGACGAAATGAGATGAGGGCATTACAGTTCCTACAGTTCCGGCACACAGTGGGTGCTCTGGGTACTTTCTCTTCTGTCTTCTGGGTGCCCAACATTGCCTGGAATGGTGTTTTCTGGGTCCTGCGGTAGCAGTGTTTGCATCGATCCATCCATACTCTCCCCTGAACCCACCCCCGTCTCAGGCTCTCATTTATGGATGTGCTATGGTGGAGAAATGGGACTTGGGATAAAGGGCCCAGCAGCAGCTGATTTGGGCTCAAGGGGCTCCACCACTTCTGAACTGAGTAGCCTTGGGCGTGTCACTGAGCCTCTCCAGCCCTCTGCTGCTTCTGTAAATTGGAAGTAATGACAATAGATCCTCTCTGTGGCTCTGAGTCCACCTAGTGCTCTGGCCCTTAGACCAGTATCCAACTGCTGCCTCCTTGTTCTTCCCTGCAGGTGTTTCCAGCTGTGCACAGGGACTGATTGGCTGAGAGCCCACGCGGGAGAGCTTCAGACACCGTAACAGTGACTGGTGAGGGACTCTTGTGGTCTGAACTCCTGTTTCCAAAAGGCACCAGCGGGGGACCGCTGACAAGGTGGGAGCTCCGGAGAATGCCAGCATATGGCTGTCCCCTGGGTTTGGGAAACATGGTTGGAATGAAGTTCATGGTGCTATGCTCCTCTTTTTCATTGTACTTAGCATCATTGAAATTTTCCCATGATTAAGGAACTTTTTAATGAATGTTTGTCTCCCCCCACTAGACTGTAAGGGGAAGGGGAGGGTCCCAGGGAAGCAGCAGAACATGGTTGTCCAAAGTGTAGACTCTGAACCTGGGGTTTGACTCCCGGGGTATGACCTTGGGCAAGTAACTTAAGCTAGCTCTCTGTGCCTCAGTTTCCTCATCTGTAAAATGGGTTCGTGACCTCCCTACCTCACTGAGTTGTTGGGAGGATGAAGAGAGTTTATATACGTATGTCAACTCTTTAGACTAGTACCTGGTACGTAGGAGGTGCCAGAGAGGTGTTCAGTTAAACCACCAAACCGGCCTTGCTCAGAACCGGGGAGAACAATGTTGATCGTCCTGGTATTGGTCAACCTCTTAACGCCCGTTCCATTCAACGACCCCTAATGACCCCTGTCTCCCCCTTGCAGAGAATGGGGGACGTGGATTACAACGACTCCTACGATGACTACCCTGATGAGGTCAGCACCATCATGGTTCTGGAGGATCTGTCCCACCCTGAAAGCAGGGCGGTCAGGATCTTCCTGGTGGCGGTCTACAGCATCGTCTGTTTCCTCGGGATCGTGGGCAATGGCTTAGTGATCTTCATGGCCACCTTCAAGATGAAGAAGACGGTGAACACCGTCTGGTTCCTCAACCTTGCCGTGGCAGATTTCCTGTTCAACATCTTCCTCCCGACCCATATTGCCTATACCGCCATGGACTACCACTGGGTTTTTGGGACGGCCATGTGCAAGATGAGCAGCTTCCTGCTCGTCCACAACATGTACACCAGCGTCTTCCTGTTGACCGTCATCAGCTTCGACCGCTGCATCTCTGTGCTCCTCCCTGTCTGGTCCCAGAACCACCGCAGCGTGCGGCTGTCCTACGTGGCCTGCGTGGTTATCTGGGTCCTGGCTTTCTTCCTGAGCTCCCCATCTCTCCTGTTCCGGGACACAGCCCATCTGAACGGGAAGATATCCTGCTTCAACAATTTCAGCCTGTCCATGGCCAACTCTTCCCCGGGGTCCGCTAACCCTGGACTGGACTCGGTGGCGTTTGGCCGGCACATGGGAGTGACCATCACCCGCTTCCTCTGCGGCTTCCTGATCCCGGTCCTCATCATCACAGCCTGTTATTTCACCATCGTCTGCAAGCTGCAACGCAACCGCTTGGCCAAAACCAAGAAGCCCTTCAAGATCATCATGACCATCATCATCACCTTCTTCTGCTGCTGGTGCCCCTACCACACGCTCTATCTCCTGGAGCTCCACCACGCCGCCATACCTGGGTCCGTCTTCAGCATGGGTTTGCCCCTGGCCACTGCCATCGCTACTGCCAACAGCTGCATGAACCCCATTCTGTATGTCTTCATGGGGCAGGACTTCAAGAAGTTCAAGGTGGCCTTCTTCTCCCGCCTGGTCAATGCTCTGAGTGAAGACACGGGCCACTCCTCCTACCCCAGCCACAGGAGCTTTACCAAGATGTCGTCAATAAATGAGAGGTCCTCGATGAATGGGAGGGAAACCAGCATGCTCTGAGCCTCACCTGGGAGACCCCAGTGGACAGTCCCAACCTCGGAGCCCAAAGCTCTGCTTTCTCAAGACTATGGCAGGAACCTCTTTGGTACCCACCAATGCCCACTGTGTTTTGCACAGGACTGAACAATGTTTTGAGCTGGGCATCCAGGGCTCAGGACCCCTTTCTTTCAGGGGCATGGTGGACAGGGTGTGTCATGTGGTTCAGCCTTGGACCAGCATCCCATGCTTTTGGGGAGACCATCCTTGACCGACACAAAGCCAAAAAAGGAGAATTTAAAAAAAATTGCCATGAACTGGGATCAACGTAAGACAGCGAGATTACGCTCCCAGGAATGCCACAAACACTCTAAAGCAGTGGTTCTCAACCTGTGGGTCGCGACCCCTTTGGGGGTCGAACGACCCTTTCACAGGGGTCGCCTAAGACCATCGGAAAACAAAAATATATTTATATTACGATTCATAACAGTGCAAAATTACAGTTATAGAGTAGCAACGAAAATAATTTTATGGTTGGGGGTCACCACAACATGAGGAACTGTACTAAGGGGTCACGGCATTAGGCAGGTTGAGAACCGCTGCTCTAGACGATAATGATAGCCTACATTTATTTAGCACTTCCTACGATCAGCACTTTACATGTATCTCATTTATTCATCACAGCTGCCCCGAGTTAGGTATAATTATATATTACTTCCCTTTTACATATAAGGTAACAGAGGCTCAGAGAGGTTAAGATACTTGCCAGAGGGCGCCCAGCTGGTCTCTGCCAGAGCCTGTCTGGCTCAGATAAGGCTGCGGAGTCTTAAGGTTTTGAGAAGGTCTTGGGTTTTTTTTTTTTACCATAAATATACATCCCTCAGCAGATTAATGTAAACATCTTAGTGGCCTTTAAGCCAGCTTTGCAAATAGTTTTCAAAAATGACCCAACATGGCAAAGAAAATGCAGTTGGCCTCTAGCTCCCTTGACACGCATCCAAACACGCCAGCTCCTGCACCCCTGAAATCTCAGGGAAGACAATGGGGAGCGAGGCCTGGCAGGAAGCAGCCCTCGTGGGCCAGAGGCCCTTTGGCCTGCGATGGGCTGCATTCTGTTCTCTTCCCAGTCCCTTCGTTGTGAAGCCAATTCTCCAACATGATGCAGTGAACAGATGTAATGTCTCCACAGCGCTGGGCGAGCTCCCGAGGCCACGGGCTGTTTGGAATCACACCTCGTTAAGAGACAAACTGTTCCTTCGTGGTTGGGTCGTTGTGTTTATGATGAGCCAGTTCTGAATTGATCCCAAGCTGGGGTTTCCGATTGCGTTAAGCCATCTGCACCAGGACAGTTTGAAAGCAAAAAGGGGGCTTTAAATATTGCCAATGCCCCACCCCCATCACCCCCTCTCCAACCTCACAGGTGAAGCAACTGAGGCACAAGACAGCATGGGACGTGTTCTAGGTCCCAGAGGCAGCCATCAGCCACTCGGGCCTCGGACCCTCAGGATGGTGGTGCTTCCTGGACTCCGCGCCTCACGCCTCCTGGGCTGCATGCCGGCCAGGCTGGGGGAGCCAGGAAATCATTTTGTCGTTGGAAAAGCTGATGAACAGGAGCAATATTCAAACCAGCTGTTTTCCTCCTTCGGGTCAGGCCTCCTTTTTCGGGCCGCCTCGCCAGTCTTCCTGTTCTAACTGTAGTTTCCCATCAAATGTTTAAAGGCAAACATGACACCCCCTTCCATCTTGTCCCTACCGCTTCTTTTGAGCATCTCCACCCGCCACACACACAACATCCCTGCGGTTCACACATGTGTTCACCTGCGTTACTCTGCAGGCAAGCTCACTTTGTGCCTGAGAACCCGCCCTTGGTGGCTGGGACTCAGCCGATAGGGCCTCAGTGCCGCCTTCTGCGTGGGGTGGGCGGACCCAGGGGGTGCTGGGAAGCAGGCAGAGGGACTCGAAGAGAGGGTGATGTTTGAGGATGGGGGAGCGAAGGGAGAGGGGAGCACAAAGGAAATGGAGAGTGACAATGAAGGAAAGGAATCTGGCATTTATTAAATCTCTACCATGTGCAGGCACAAAACATCAACAAACTCTCATGACGGTTCTGAGAAGAGGACCAGCAGACTTGTGTGGGGGATGCAGAAAGGGAGGTTTGGATGGCAAACCTCACTTATTCAAGGTCACACGGCTAGTAAATGATGGAGCTGGCCTTTGAACCAGGTCTCCTGCCTGAGCTCCCAGCGTCTCAGCCCTTAAGAGGAAGGAGAGAGAGAGGAGGATTGAGGGGGGACAGAAGGGAAGCGGGGGAGGCAGAGGGGGATAAGGGGGAGGGGAGCTTAGGGGCCAGGATGGGTGGGAGAAGATAGACTCCAATAGTGAGAGCCATGAGGGCCCTTTAAACCCATCTCACCCAGGCCTTTCCCATTTTATAGATAAAGGAGCTGAGGTTTTGAGAGCTGCCCTTTGAGAAATCTGCTAAAGGAAGTGGTACTTGGCTTGGATGGAAGTCATCTGTGATTCATTCTCCAACTCCTACCACTGGCCTCCCTCTCCTGTTCCTCCCTAACATGCTATGCTCTGGCCGGAGCTTGGGGCACCCTGGGCCTGTGGTTGCCAAACCCCAAATTTGGAAAATTGCTGCTGGGCGTGGTATTCAGGACCACGAGGAACCAGGAAGCCATGAACTAATTCAACAGAGGGCTTGCTTTCTTCCTCCCTTTGAGGACGAAGTTTCTCTGGAAGGAAGAGACAGAAGCAAGAGTGGAGCTCAGTGCTGCAGATTCCTGCCACAAACACACCCTTGCCTTCCCTGTCCACCTCACAGAATAGCAGCTGAGGCTCAGAGAGGCCAAGTGACCTGTCCAAAGTCACACAGCTATATTGTGAGCCAGTAGGAGAAACCCTGAAATTCCCAACTTACCATTCCCCAAATTCTGGACTTTAAGAAGCATGCATCTTGAAAAAAAATTCTTTCCACTCATTTAGTTTTCCTAGCAACCAAGGATATGTGACAGGTAGTGACTTACGCAAGGTAACGTAGCAAGCCATGGCAGATAGGAGACTGAACTCCAGGATGCCTTACCGCTAAGTCCATGCCCTTTGGTGCCACTTCAGGCCATCCAAGGACAGATGCTCCTATCTACACATTCACACATCCATCCATCCACCTATCTATCCATTAACATTACTACCTCTCTATATACATATCCGCCCATTCATCCATTCCATAAAAACCTATTAAATACCTATGCTTTGCCAGGCCGTGTGGTAGGCACCGGGAATACAGGGATGATCCGGCCATATACAATCTCTGTCCTCAGACCATTTATTGGCTAATGGGAGAGATAGCCAATAATTAACAAACAAACAAACGAAAAAACACCCTCTGAATGGAAAACAACCTCAGTAAGTTCAATGAACATATTGTAGAGGGCCCTGACCCTGTCCAAAGGCCAAGGACACTTGCTCAGGGAAGAAACACTTGAGATGTGAATGACAGGTAGGCACTGATTTGGTGGGAGATGCAGTTTCCAGGTGGAGGAAACTGCACGGGCAGCAGCGGTGTTGATGTGGGAGGGAGCAGAGTGAACCTGCGGGGCTGGAAGGGGACGGGGGCTACAGCAGAGCAGGTAGGCTGAGCATGGACCACGTAGGACGGAGAGGGGGCAGGGCCAGACCACGGGACCCTGAGAGGAAGGGGAAGCCCTGTGCAGGTTAGTGTCTGGCTCAGACCTGCCTATTGAAATGATGCCCGATGCCTGGGCCATTCTGGGGATGACAATTTGGAAAGGGGCAGAAGGGGCAGCTCGGGGTAGGGGCTGCTGCAGCCTCCAAAAGAGTGCTATGGTGCCTGGACTGTGGGAGCAAAGGTAGAACCTGAGAGAAGTGGACTATTGGAGAGAGATTTAAAAGCTCCCCAAGCTTTCTCAGGGGAGTGGTTAGTGGGAAACCAACCCAGGGGCCATTTCAGCTGTACAGAGGGCTTGGTGCATTACTTTATTGACGGAAATTAATTGTAAATATTATTCAAATTTACCTCCCAATGCACAATTATATTGCTCAGGGGAGCCCTCTGAGCACATAATAAAGCCCTATAAATAATACATATATTAACCTACGAGGAGCGGAGGCATATTAATGCAGCAGTTGCTGGTGGTGGCGGCGGGGGATTTATGCAGACAGGGCTCCAAGTGCTTGGACTTGGGGTATAACTTTGGAGGTCACTGAATTCTGTCCTGGGGGATCTTCTAGAAGTCTCTCCTCCTGAGAGGTGGGATATCCCCCAGGTGTGTCAGCCAGCTACTGCTCTAGAGACCTGGTCAAAGCGGGGGGGAGAGTGTTGATGAAGGAAGAAGGAAACACAGGTCTATAGATCACTTACCTTGTGCTCAAAACTCCAACAACAGCAGCAACAACAATAATCGTGGGTCATCTTAATTGAGCTCGTCCAAGGCTTGGGAGCCCTCCAAGCACTTTATTTTCACGATCTCATTGAATGCTTACAGCAACCTTTGTGTAAGGGGCCATCACTATCCCCATGTACAGATGAGGAAATGGGGGCTCAGAGTGGTGAAGTGACTCACCCAGTGTCACACAGCTAGTAAGTGACAGAGCTGGGATTCAAACCTTGGTCTGTTTGGCTCTAAAGTTATTTGCAAACATAAAGTGTCCTCTGAAGAGCCTCCTCCCTGGAAAGAGGAGGCAAGCATGTCATGTACTCGCGTTCAAGGGTCAGCATTTGAGGAGGCAGGAGGTGGGGGATGCTTTTTCCTTTGAAGCGAGGAAATGGTGTCTGGATGGGCTAGTCACTTCCTCGGGAATCTTAGGATTTTTGAATTTAGAAGAGGCTCAACTTCAACCAAATTCATCCCTTCCCATCGCCCCATTTTACAGATGGTGAAACTAAGGCTTCTTAGCAAATAAGTTTGGGACCTCCTACCTCACTGACTGCTGTAAGATAAGATATGTGTGAAAATGCTCATGGGAGTGGCTTTGAAAGCACCATCATTCTAGAGACCTGGCCATTCACTAAGCTACCTCCTCACTTCTTAGTGGGTTGACAAAGGCTTTGGTGCAGATCTGCACCTACCACGATCTGGGAGTTTCTAGCAGAATGCTGGTTGAAGGGGAGGACTGCTGTGTCTGGGTCACACACTTTACCCTTCGAAATTGTCCTGGATACAGGTGAGGGTTGCTCTGTATGTTATCTAGAGGCTGGTTCTGCGGCTGCCTTTATATGTAGAAACCCATTTGTCTGTACATATAAGATGACTGCACTTACTAGAGCAAGCTATGCCTCAGTGAAAGTATTTTTAAGAGGAGAATAATTCATGGTGTTTGCAGGAATGACTTCCCACTTCCATTGGTGCTCTGGACAAAACCAGGTCTGGGGACTTCTGTCTGATACAAAAGGGTATCTCAGAGGGAGGGGGTCCCTGCAGGG